AAATTTAGTTGCTTCCTCTGAAAGTGTACACATACATAACACACATTTAAAACATACTATGTAGAACTTGCCACGGTTGTTAAGTGAATCGCTGCCATTAAGTTAGTAACCCGGTTGTTAAGCGAATCCGGCTTCCCCCGTTGACTTTGCTTGTCAGAAGGTCGCAAAAGGGGATCACGTGACCCCCGGGACACCGCAACCGTCATAAACGCGAACCGGTTGTCAAGCGTCCGAATGTAAATCCCGTGACCCTGGGATGGATGCCGCAGTGGTCGTAAGTGTGAAAAACGGCCCTAAGTCCCCTCTTTTCGGTGCCGTTGTAACTTCAGACGGTCACTAAAAGAACTGCTGTACGCTGAGGATTACCCATAATACATAAATCAATGTTCTGTTAAGTTCTGTGCAACACTGTCCTGGTTATGGCGTGTGTGTGTGTGGGGAAAACAACAACAACACTTTTTCCATGAACCACGAGTGATCCTAATTCTTGGTTTTGGTCCCGTTTCAGAAACTTCAACTTCGAAGAGGTATTTGTTTCCTTTCCTAGAGAGATCGCTCGCCTCTCAAAGCAGGCCGGAGTGGAAAAATTGATTCACTTTTCTCACTTGAACGCGGACAGCCAAAGTCCTTCAAAATACCTCAGGACTAAGGTGGGTTGTTCAGCAATGTTAGGCCTTTTGTTTTTAGACCCTGCCGCTTTGTAATTATGTTATAAGAGGGGGGTCAAGCTCTTCTCCAAAGCGCCAGAAGGCAGGCGAAGAAGCAAGGGATGGAGACTATTCAATCTGGAATTAAGGAGAAATTTCCTGACAGGGAGAACAATTAACCAGTGGAACTCCTTGCCTCCAGAAGTTGTGGATGCTTGAACACTGGAAGTTTTTAAGAAGAGACTGGACAGCCTTTTGTCTGAAATGGTCTATGGCAGCAGTGGGCAACCTTGGCTCTTTTATGACTCGTGGACTTCAACTCCCAAAATTCCTGAGCCAGCCATGCTGAGGGGAAAGGGAGGTTTCCAAGCTGAGCCATGCCGGCTTAGGAATTCTGGGAGTTGAAGTCCACGAGTCATAAAAGGGCCTAGGCCTAGGCCAGAGGTAGGCAACCTTGGCTCTTTTATGACTGGTGGACTTCAACTCCCAGAATTCCTGAGCCAGCCACGCTGAGGGGAAAGGGAGNAATCAGCAGGGACTCAGTTACTTTCCTCCTCCACCCTCCTCCTCCTCAATTCACAGATTGTAGCTTATATTCCGGGAAATAAGGCATGACTGACCATCTTAACTGGGGCTTATTTTGGGGGTGGGGCTGATTTTACGAGCATCCTGAAAACTCACGCTAGGGCTTATTTTCCAGTTGGGTCTTATTTTGGGGAAAACGCGGTCGTCCTCCCAGCAAGCCGTGTGACCAAAATTCAGATGCTTAGCGACTGACTCATTTTTACGACGGCTGCAGTGTCCCGGCGTCATGTGATCACCTTTTGCGACAAACATAGTCGACGGGGAAGCCAGTTTCACTTCACAACTGCGTTACTAACTTAACAGCTGCAGCGATTCACTTAAGAACCGTGGCAAGAAAGGTCGTAAAATGGGGCAAAACTCGACCGCCGTCTCGCCGAGCAATGGAAATTTGGGGTTGAATGGAAATCTTGGAGATGAATAAATATTCATATGTGTGCTCAATGTCCTTGTGTTTTAGGCTATGGCATTCCTGCAGGGGTGTTGTCGCTTCTTCAACAAGATCGCTCCATTCACTATTCGGTGATGCCTCATGGGCGCAGTGGACGTTCCTCCGTCAGTGGCATTGTGGCCACAGTCTTTGGGGCCACAGGATTTCTGGGCCGATATATTGTTAACCACCTAGGTAATATATGACAAGGATAGACTTCATTTAATAAATTAATGTTGTCGTCTATTAAGGTATTGCTTGTCCGACTTGCATATCTATTACGCCATTCAATCATGCAGGTAAATGCTACAAATTTATCCTCTAGCAGCATCATAAAATTTCTTTTTAAATGAGCCCATCAGAAAGGCTTTTCATAAAATTATATATATATATATATAGAACGTAGATCCATTCCCGGCAGGGTAGAACGAAAGACTGGTGCAGAAATACAGAAAAGAAGAAGGAGAGAGGGGAAGGGAAAAAGCAGTGGCAAGTTGTGTGAGGATAGGAGCAGCGCAGGCAAGTTGGTTAATAAAACAAAAACAGTGTCAGAACGCCGATTGGCCGACGGAATCCCATGACAGCATCCATGGGTCGGGTGCAAAAGTAGTTTGACCATAAATAAGCGCTCCCATTAACCTACATAGATCCCTGATGATGCCGGCAGTGGCCGGTGAAAGCTTGGGCTCTAATTTATTAAAACTTTTATAGTTTTTAATTCTTCCTGGTGTTCACTTTCTTTTATCTTTTATCATGAATGTACCCAGGAATCATTCGTCTGTTTTTAAGATTGTTTTTAAGATATATATATATATATATATATGCATGTAACAAAAATATCAAGTTGATATAATTCAGGACATTTAAAAAAAAATGAAGCAGAGGGAGGGAGGGAGGGAGATGGAGGAGGGCGGGCAGGCAGGCGCCATGGTGGTGCAGTGGCTAGAATGTAGCATTGCAGGCTAACTCACTGCCCGCTGCCAGCAGTTCGATCCTGACCGGCTCAAGGTTGACTCAGCCTTCCATCCTTCTGAGGTCGTAAAATAAGGACCCAGATCGTTGGGAGCAATAGGCTGACTTTGTAACCTACTTAGAGAGGGCTGTAAAGCACTGTCAAGCGGTATATAAGTCTAAGTGCTATTGCTTGTTATTTTTACAAACAGGGCAGCAAACATACCCAATACTTCTCCCTCCTCCTTTCCCCCCACAAACGACAATCCTGAGAGTGTACGCCTGGCTCTAGGTCACCCAGCTGGCTTTCGTGGCTAAGGTGGGACTAGAATTCACGCTCTCCCACTTCCTAGCCTGGCGCCTTCCCTGTAGCTCAAACGGTCTCTACACCACGGGGCACAGGGCTTCGGGAAACCCAGAGGAACTTAATGCCTGGATGAACACCCCTTTTGCAATCTGACATGTAAAAAGTGTGTGTGGCTCAATGCTAACGTTTACTATCCTGTAATTGACCCATTCCAAAGAAACTTTTTTCTTGTTCTTCTTCTAGGCCGTATCGGTTCCCAAGTCGTCATCCCGTACCGCTGTGACGAGTACGATCTCCTGTACCTTCGGCCCATGGGGGACCTAGGACAGCTTATTTTTATGGTAGGGTGTGAATTTGCCTCAAATCTTTACGAAGGCAAAACAACAAGTGAAAAGATAGATAAGATGAGATGAGATGAGATAGATAGATAGATGAGATAAGTGCTATTGCTATAAGTGTTACTGCTATTACATGGACCAGAAACTACTGGCCACACTTTGTGAAAGGTGTGCGGACATCATTTAATTTACTTTTGTGTTTCTGTGGTCACCAGGAATGGGATGCGCGCGACAAGGATTCTACCTGGAGAGCTGTCGAAAATAGCCACGTGGTAATCAACCTTGTCGGAAGAGACTGGGAAACCAGGTGAATTCCCCCCCCCCCCCCAGCTGAAATAAATTGAGGATTGACCGTCCTGGTGCCAGAGAGACCTTCGTGGTAGGCTCTTTCAGCTCAGCCCACCTCAGAGGGTTGTTGTGGGGAAAATGGGCAGGAGCTTATGTGCCCTGCCACGAGTTGGACAAAATAAAGGAGAGAAATAAATCTAAGGCAGGTGGTCCTCCGTTTATGACACAACTGAGCCTGAAATCTCTGTTGCTAAGCCAGACATCTCTTAAGTGAATTTTTCCCCGTTTTATGACCTTTCTTAAATGGATGGATGGATGGATGGATGGATGGATGGATGGATGGATGGATGGATGGATGGATGGATGGATGGATGGATGGATAGATAGATGATAGATAGATAGATGGATGGATGGATGGATGGATGGATGGATGGATGGATGGATGGCGATAGACAGACAGATGATAGTTGATAGATAGATAGACAGATTAGATAGATAATAGATAGATAGATAGATAGATAGATAGATAGATACAGATACTAGATGATAGATATAGATGATAGATAGAAAGATAGATACTTGATAGATAGATAATAGATAATAGAGATAGAAAGATAGATACTTGATAGATAATAGATAGACAGATAGATTAATAGATAAATAAATAATAGTTAATAGATAATATAGATAATAGATAGATAGATTAATACATAGATTAATACATAGATAGACAGACAAACAGATAGATAACCTTTATTGTCATTTTTTTCCTGTGGGCAAAACGGCACGTATTAAAAATGAAATTTAGTTGCTTCCTCTGAAAGTGTACACATACATAACACACATTTAAAACATACTATGTAGAACTTGCCACGGTTGTTAAGTGAATCGCTGCCGTTGTTAAGTTAGTAACCCGGTTGTTAAGCGAATCCGGCTTCCCCCGTTGACTTTGCTTGTCAGAAGGTCGCAAAAGGGGATCACGTGACCCCCGGGACACCGCAACCGTCATAAACGCGAACCGGTTGTCAAGCGTCCGAATGTAAATCCCGTGACCCTGGGGGATGGATGCCCAGCGGTCGTAAGTGTGAAAAACGGCCCTAAGTCCCCTCTTTTCGGTGCCGTTGTAACTTCAGACGGTCACTAAAAGAACTGCTGTACGCTGAGGATTACCCATAATACATAAATCAATGTTCTGTTAAGTTCTGTGCAACACTGTCCTGGTTATGGCGTGTGTGTGTGTGTGGGGAAAACAACAACAACACTTTTTCCGTGAACCACGAGTGATCCTAATTCTTGGTTTTGGTCCCGTTTCAGAAACTTCAACTTCGAAGAGGTGTTTGTTTCCTTTCCTAGAGAGATCGCTCGCCTCTCAAAGCAGGCCGGAGTGGAAAAATTGATTCACTTTTCTCACTTGAACGCGGACAGCCAAAGTCCTTCAAAATACCTCAGGACTAAGGTGGGTTGTTCAGCGATGTTAGGCCTTTTGTTTTTAGACCCTGCCGCTTTGTAATTATGTTATAAGAGGGGGGGGTCAAGCTCTTCTCCAAAGCGCCAGAAGGCAGGCGAAGAAGCAAGGGATGGAGACTATTCAATCTGGAATTAAGGAGAAATTTCCTGACAGGGAGAACAATTAACCAGTGGAACTCCTTGCCTCCAGAAGTTGTGGATGCTTGAACACTGGAAGTTTTTAAGAAGAGACTGGACAGCCTTTTGTCTGAAATGGTCTATGGCAGCAGTGGGCAACCTTGGCTCTTTTATGACTCGTGGACTTCAACTCCCAGAATTCCTGAGCCAGCCATGCTGAGGGGAAAGGGAGGTTTCCAAGCTGAGCCATGCCGGCTTAGGAATTCTGGGAGTTGAAGTCCACGAGTCATAAAAGGGCCTAGGCCTAGGCCAGAGGTAGGCAACCTTGGCTCTTTTATGACTGGTGGACTTCAACTCCCAGAATTCCTGAGCCAGCCACGCTGAGGGGAAAGGGAGNCTCAGGAATTCTGGGAGTTGAAGTCCACGAGTCATATAAGAGCCAAGGTTGCCTACCCCTGGTCTAGGGTCTCCTGGCTGAGCAGGGGGTTGGACTAGAAGACCTCCAAGGTCCCTTCCAACTCTATTATTATTTTTATTATTGATCATCGCACAGTCAGCCAGATGTTCAGACTGGATTTGGCATTTTGTCTACCTATTGAGTCCTTCCCAAAGACCTGGGATAGGCAGATGTGGATGTTTGATGGTATTACAGATCTCGTCGCAGGATGGAAGCGGTTCCTAGCAAGGCCACCTTTTGCAATTGACTAATGGCGAATTTGTCAATGCCGATGATGGTGTTCAAGTGGTGCTCCAGTTGTTTTGGGATTGCACCCAAGGCGATGATGATGATTATTATTATCATTGTTGTTATTATTATTATCTCAATTGTATTTGTGAAATGTATACATTGCCTTAATCTGATTGGTTTGGTAAGGTATGTCTGCACATCCTTACAGTCGTGTCCAGGCCTGGAGATAAAAAAAAATCCATCTCCTTATCATTTCCATTTTAATCATTTTAATTTTTGGATTGCTGCCAGACTTTAGCTAAACAAAACCAGGTGCCACTTCTCACTCAAACCTTGTCCTCATTGCTGACACGTGTTCAGCTTCACATCTGGGCCAGAATATTGAAACGCTCAAATGTACAATTGGGAAGGGGCCCTTTTATGACTGTTGAACTTCAACTCCCAGAATTCCTCAGCCAGGCATGCTGGCTGGGGAATTCTGGGAGTTGAAGTCCAACAGTCATAAAAGGGCCACGTGTGAAGACCCCTGGGCTAGGAGGACATAGTCTGTCAAATCTGGTTGTTGAAATTGCATCTCTCACATCGGTATGAGAAGTTGAATAATCTTCCAATGACTTGATCCATAGGCAGAAGGAGAAAAAGTTGTCAGGGCAGAATTTCCAGATGCCATCATTATGAAGCCTTCTGATATATATGGGAGAGAAGACAGGTTCTTAAACTATTACGCCGGTAAGTATGTTTATTGTAACATATAAACTTTTTTACTAAAGAGACAGGCATTGGACAGAATACAGTATATATATTCCTGCAGTCGTGAAAGCTGCACCGGATGTTTTTTTTTCCTTCTGCGGTTACATTATTGATGTGAAAAAAACTGCACACGTTTAAATAAGGTTCTCGTTTAAATCCGTACAGTAATAAACCTTTCAGATCTTGGTTTCAAACCCTAGTGGTTTGTGGGGATTCCAGGAACTACGGGTAAGGGGCCATTTCCTATTTGATCATTTAAAAAATATTGTAAATTCATGGTCATTAGATAAGATAAGGTAAGATAAGGCAAGATAGGATAGGATAAGATAAGACAAGGCAAGACAGGATAAGATAGACAAGATAAGATAGATAGGATAACCTTTATTGTCATTTTTTTACTGTGGGCACAACGGCACACATCAACAATGAAATTTAGTTGCAAGAACTAGATGTGTAACACTATGGTTAGCCCTTTTTATCCAAGTTTTTGGGTTTCCCATCTATATAATAGCTAATAATCCTGTTGTGAGCAATGGAAATTTTGTGAACGTTGGACTATATGAATATGTAATTAAGCCCCTTTGAATTCTGTTAGGCTTATTCCTGATTTTAAGTGTGAAGCATGTGCAGTTGTGAACATTTTTACATTTTTACAAAAGTTAAAAAAGTTAAACATTAAAATAAATACATTGTCTAACCCAGCGGCCCCCAATCTTTGGGGCACCAGGAACCGGTTCTGTGGAAAGAGGCTTTTCCGCGGACAGGAGGGTGCGTAGTTTTGTGTGCTGCCTGCATCCCGCGGATGGGGCTTCCCTTGTTTGCGCAGACCGGTTCCCGACATCCCGCGGACTGGTGCCGGTCCGGGGGTTGGGGACTCCTGCTCTAAAACCTATTGGAAAATAACTAAGCAAAGTAGTAATATGAATAAGGATCTTTAGTTGACTTACCTCTCTTGATATAGGGTTGCGACGGTTTGGCGGAGTACCCATTGTTGGTTTTGGCAAGAAAACTGTGAAGCAGCCTGTCTACGTAAGTACTAATTAAAAGAATAGAATAGAAGAATAGAATAGAATAGAATAGAATAGAATAGAATAGAATAGAATAGAATAGAATAGAATAGAATAGAAAACAGAAACATCTGTGGAGCCTTCCCTTTTATACAAGGCTCTTAAAGAGATACAGCCCTTGCTTGCTCTTAAAGAGACACAGACCTTGCTTGCTCTTAAAGAGACACAGACCTTGCTTGCTCTTAAAGAGACACAGACCCAGCTGGCTCTTCAAGGGACATAGACCCTGCTGAGTCATTCCCAACATTACATCATACGTCTTACATTACATCAGCTGGTTAGCTTCTAAATCATTACCTTGACAAAATTTAATTAACCATGTCAATATTTTTTTCTGTTGAATATTATTTGATAGGTGGTTGATGTAGCCCGGGCAGTAATGAATGCTATCAAGGACCCTGATTCTAAAGGAAAAACATATGCACTGGTTGGGTATGTTTTCTGTTTTGTTTTTTTACTTCTCTCATGTAAAACCTACAACATTTGTTCTGTCTTTAATGCTCTTGTGTTCCTTTAAAAAAAAAAAACCCTTCAAGACTCGCAGGAGTCTTCTCCAGCACCAGAGTTCAAAGGCCTCAATTCTTTGGCGCTCAGCCTTTCTGATGGTCCAACTCTCCCAGCCATACATTGCAACTGGGAAAGACTTTTATTAGTTGCATTTTATTTACACAGTTTTGACATTCCGCATTACAAAGATTCAGACGTCTTGATAAATTGGCTGTTAACCTGAAATGTTACATAGTTTTCATACTGGGAGGAAAGCTTTAAAACGCAGGTCCAGTTCTACCCCATTCCAGCCCCAAATTGTTTAAAATGAGGAGTGGATAAACCCCTCCAGCTCACGAGCGTGTCCAGAAAATCATTTTTAAGGTCGCAGAAATGATTGTGTAAATAAAAAGAGTTCATTTTGACTTGTTGGATTCAAAGTCTTACAAGATCAGCTTGGCTCTGCCCCTATTTTTTGCCTGGATTGGAGGGACCCCGAGCTAATAGCAACCCTCCAAAAAAACTGGTTTGCTTCTTCACGAACTGAAGAAGCTTCTTGATGAGAAGGGAAATGTTTTCAAGGGGGGGGGAAACCCTCAAGTTGCCTTTTGGAACCAAAAAATTAATAATAATAAGCACCTTTGGGATAGTAGTAACCTTTTGTTAAGCTTTTGTTCTCATTTTGTTTGCTCACCATTTTTAAATGATCAAAGCTTGTCTGCGTACTGGAGGATCGGGAGATGCTCCTAGTGATGGGAGCAGCACATCGGCAAGGCTAAATAAATAAATCCACTGCTTTATGATTTGATTGCTCCAGTTTGTTTAGCAGAAACAAACATCAGGTTACAGTGAGTTAAGAAGCCTTGACAGGGGTTGGCAATACGTTGTCATCGGTATGCGGAGAGCGTGCCGTTCAGTGCCAAATTCCAATTCAAAACCCTTCATTGTTCTCTCCTGATTTTGATGGGAAAAAAACCCTGTGGAAAGGCTGAGTTTCGTACTACCCAAATGGTTGTAAAACCACCGTTTCATGCTTCAAATTTCTGGGTCCAGAATAAGGTGGCTGGATAGAGAGTTTGAATTAAAATCTTTTACAGGTAGTCCTCGACTTAAAATCATCCATTTAGCTCAAGTTTTAACCAGCACTGGGGTGGGGGGGGAAATGACAATTTTTCACCCTTAACGACCGTGGTAGTGTTCCCTTGGTTCACGTGATCAAAATTCAACTACTTGCCAACTGGCTTGTATTTGTGACGGTTGCAGTGTCCAGTGTGTGTGTGTGTGTGTGTGTGTGTGTGTGTGTGTGTGTGTGTGTGAGAGAGAGAGAGAGAGAGAGAGAGAGAGAGAGAGAGAGAGAGAGAGAGAGACGTGATCCCCTTTTGCAACCCGGCACTAGGGGGGGAAAATAACAATTTTTCACCCTTACAACCGTTGTAGTGTTCCCTTGGTTCACATGATCAAAATTCAGCCACTTGCCAACTGGCTCGTATTTATGACAGTTGCAGTGTCCTGTGTGTGTGTGTGTGTGTGTGTGTATGTGTGTGTGTGAGAGAGAGAGACGTGATCCCCTTTTGCGACCATCTGATGAGCAAAGTCAAAGGGGAAGGCAGGTTCGCTTCCCGTGATACCAATTTAACGGCAGCAGCGATACCAACTTAGCCACTGCGGCAAGCAACGTCATAAAATGGGACAAAACTCGCTTGGCTGTCTCGCTTAGCATTGGAAATTTTGGGCCGAGTTGCTCTCATAAGCCGGGGACCGCCTGTATTCCATTTGGTGATTAGCTTCAGCCAAATAAAATAAGAAAGCCAAGATCACGGCATCCGGCCCTCTCAATTCCTGGCAAATAGATGGGGAAGAAATGGAGGCAGTGACAGATTTTATCTTCCTGGGCTCCAAGATCACCACAGATGGGGACTGCAGCCAAGAAATTAGAAGACACTTGCTCCTGGGGAGGAAAGCCACGACAAATCTAGACAGCACACTAAAAAGCAGAGACATCACCCTGCCAACAAAAGTGCGTAGAGTCAAGGCCTTGGTTTTCCCAGTTGCAATGTATGGCTGTGGAAGTTGGACCGTAAGAAAGGCTGAGCGCCAAAGAATGGAGGCCTTTGAACTATGGTGCTGGAGAAGACTCCTGCGAGTCCCCTGGACTGCAAGGCGATCCAACCGGTCGGTCCTAGAGGAGATCCACCCCAACTGGTCTTTAGAAGGCCAGATGCTGAAGTTGAAACTCAAGTCCTTTGGCCACCTAATGAGAAGGAAGGACTCTCTGGAGAAGAGCCTGATGCTGGGAAAGATGGAGGGCAAGAGAAGAAGGGGACGACAGAGAAGGAGGTGGCTGGATGGAGTCCCTGAAGCAGGAGGCCTGAGCTTCAATGGACTCCAGAAGATGGTAGAGGGCAGGAAGGCCTGGAGGAACGTTGTCCATGGGGTCGCGATGGGTCGGACACGACTTCGCAACTAGCAACAACATCAAATAAAGGAAAGGGGGAAAAAAAGATAAGATAAAGCCAAATAAATTGGACCCCTCTTCTACAGTTTTGACATACACCCTGAGAGTCCCCCATCCTGAGACCAGACTGGCCTTCCTACCTGTCCATCAAAGAGGGGAGGGCAGAGGTAGCCATGACTACCATCAAGCACAGAATGGAGGGGAGGAGAGCTGAAATCCCTTCTTTAACCTGTTCAATACCTGGATGGACGATCTTTGTCCCTCTGCCTCTCCTCTACCTCAGCAGAAGGCAAAGACCTGGCTGACCTTGAAAGCAGCCAGGTCCGGTGAGATCCTGCAGTAGAATCACCGTGAGGAGCAAGGACCTGCAAGGCACACCCAGACATGGAAAAAAACACCTTCCAGAAGAAGTGAAATGACAGTTCATTTCCACGCCGTTGCCAATAAAAATAGTTGACTTTTTCTTGCCTTTACCCTTCCATCTTCAGCCAGGACCTCGCCTTGCTCGTAGGAGCTGATAGCATCCACGTTTCCCTCTGGCCCAGAAACCTCATTGCAAGATTTCCCATAAACTCAGCGTTTCCCATCCTGAATCAAAGGCCCATTGTCGTCAGGCGGACATAATAAAAGTTAAATTTCAACACTTCTTCGCGGGTCCGTTTCCATAAACCTGGGACTTTCGTATCTCATCATCCTGGTAGGCTTTGGTATGCCTCATAGCTCCATGAAAAATTACCTTCCTTTGCCCTAAACCAGGGGTAGGCAACCTTGGCTCTTTTATGACTCGTGGACTTCAACTCCCAGAATTCCTGAGCCAGCCTGGCTCAGCTTGGAAACCTCTCTTTCCCCTCAGCTTGGCTGGCTCAGGAATTCTGGGAGTTGAAGTCCACGAGTCATAAAAGAGCCACGGTTGCCTACCTCTGGCCTAGGCCTAGGCCGCTTCATGACTCGTGGACTTCAACTCCCAGAATTCCTGGGCCAGCGTGGCTCAGCTTGGAAACCTCTCCCTTTCCCCTCAGCATGGCTGGCTCAGGAATTCTGGGAGTTGAAGTCCACGAGTCATAAAAGAGCCGAGGTTCCCCACCCCGGCCCTATATCAGGGGTCCTCACCCTTGGCAACTTTAAGACTCGTGGACTTCAACTCCCAGAATTCCTGAGCCAGCGTGGCTCAGCTTGGAAATCTCTCCCTGTCCCCTCAGCGTGGCTGGCTCAGGAATTCTGGGAGTTGAAGTCCACGAGTCAAAAAAGAGCCAAGGTTGCCCACCCCTGCCCTAAACTGAGAGACTTTCCTGCCAGCCGAATATTAAGGTACCCGGCTAGAAATTGGGAGACCGAGAATTCTAGTCCCACCTTGAGCAAACAGCCAGTAGGGTGATTTTGCGCCAGTCGGTCTCTCTCAGCCCTAGAAAGCAGACAATGCATTGCAAGCCACTTCTGGAATCTTGCCATGAAAGATGGCTGGGCAATCGCCAGGAGTTCAAGACTGACTCTAAGGCAGCCCACCCCCCCGCAAGAGGAATAGATACTGTAAATAGGACAAGGCAATATCTTGTTTGCCAATGGATGGACGGACGGACAGACAGACAGACAGACAGACAGACAGACAGACAGACAGACAGACAGACAGAGGAAAAGATAGAGAAAGAAAGAAGAGATGGATGGATGGATGGATGGATAGATAGATAGATAGATAGATAGATAGATAGATAGATAGATAGATAGATAGATAGATAGATAGATAGATAGAAGAAAGAAAAAGAAAGAAAGAAAGAAAGAGAGATGATAGATAGATGATAGACAGACAGATAGAGATAGATGAAGATAGATATAAAAGATAGAGAGATAGAAGATAAAGAAGATAGATAGATGATAGATAGATATAAAAAAGAAAAAGATAAGATGATAGATATAAGAAAGAAAGAAAGATAGAGAGATAGATGATAGATAGATAGATGATAGACAGAGATAGATGAAGATAGATATAAAAGATAGATAGTTAGAAGATAAAGAAGATAGATAGATGATAGATAGATAGATATAAAAAAGAAAAAGAAGATGATAGATATAAGAAAGAAAGTGAGAGAGATGATAGACAGACAGACAGACAGATAGAGATAGATGAAGATAGATAGATAGAGATATAAAAGATAGAGATAGATAGATAGATAGATAGATAGATAGATAGATAGATAGATAGATAGATAGATAGATAGATAGATAGATAGATAGATAGATAGATAGATAGATAGATAGAGTTCAATAACAAAATCTTTGTGCAAATCTCAGGTTACACCCTCAAATATTTCGTCTCTTTTTCCGTTAACATTTACTGTCTCATATTTAGGTTAGTACATTTCTAATTACACCAACTCAATGAAAACGCCATTATTACATTTATCAATAAATTTTTAGCTTATACGTATCTTAATTGCATTCAATCTTCATAAACAATCCATATCCTGTTACTGATTTTTACTCCGTTTTTAATTTCTTATCCATATTCCAATGTAACCTTTGGTATTTATAATTGTCAGACTTTGGGCAACCCAAATTTCCCTTATCTCACTTCGTAACAAACTACAATATCCAAAATACGTATTTTATCTATTTGAATACGATCTTGTTCTAGTTCCTAAGAGTTACCTATCTCCCGTCCTGTTAAATCATCTACTTAATAACACAATATTAAGCGTCTGAATTTTGATCACGTGACCCTGGGGGGAATGCTGCAACGGTCGTTAAGTGTGAAACGCGGTCGTAAGTCTCTTCGTCTCGGTGCCGTTACAACTTTGAACGGTGACTAAATGAACTGTTAAGTTTTGAGTCGAGGACTACCTGTACTCAAAAGTTCTTAACTCATTGTTACACTGCATATTTCTCATCTCACGTCTGCCCCATTTTCTTTCTCTCTTTTTTTTTTCTCTTTTGCAGCCCTCACAGGTACTTCTTGTATGACATGATCAAGTTCCTGTACTCGGTCATGCACAGACCCTTCCTCACGTACCCCCTGCCTCGTCCCCTCTTCCTGTAAGTCGGATTGTTATTTGGTTGGTGATGGGTTCCTTCGTAGGCTGAACCTTAAGGATGTTGAGTCACTGGTGACTTTGGAGGTCTTTTAATCCAACCCCTTGCTCAAGCAGGAGACCCTCTACCATATTGGACAAGAAGTTCTCTAGTCTTCTTTTGAAAATCTCCAAGTGATGGAGCACCCACAATTTTTGGAGACGAGCCGTTCCACTGGTTAATTGTTCTCACTGTCAGGAAATATCTCCTTACTTCCAGCTGGCTTCTCTCCATGATACGTTTCCATCTGTTGCTTCTCGTCCTGCCTTCAGGGGCTTTGGAGAATAGCTTGGCCCCACTTTTCGGTGGCAGCCCCTCAAATAGTGGAAGGCTGATGTCCTGTCACCCCTAGTCCTTCTCTTCATTAAACTAGACCAGGGGTAGGCAACCTTGGCTCTTTTATGACTCGTGGACTTCAACTCCCAGAATTCCTGAGCCAGTATGGCTCAGCTTGGAAACCTCTCCCTTTCGCCTCAGCGTGGCTGGCTCAGGAATTCTGGGAGTTGAAGTCCACCAGTCATAAAAGAACCAAGGTTCCCCACCCCTGCCCTATCTCAGGGGTCCTCAACCTTGGCAACTTTAAGACTCGTGGACTTCAACTCCCAGAATTCCTGAGCCGGCATGGCTCAGCTTGGAAACCTCTCCCTTTCCCCTCAGCGTGGCTGGCTCAGGAATTCTGGGAGTTGAAGTCCACCAGTCATAAAAGAGCCAAGGTTCCCCACCCCTGAACATGACATACCCAATTGCAGCAACCCTCCATTGTATAGTTTTCTATAGAAATAAATAGTCTCTTAGGCAGAAACCTCACGCCAGGTAAAAACTGGTTTTGTTGTAAGTACCTATTTTATGTAGCTTTCACTGTACATAAGAACAATGCATAAAAGTCTCCTCTGCCTTGGCTTCTCTCTGTCAGTTGCCCCCCTTGCAAGGCAAAATACCTGCTCCAGTTCCAAAAAAACCCAGGTTCAGTGTGACAGGATAGCAGGCAAGAAACTGGAACAGCTGATTGAGATGGATGGATGGATGGATGGATGGACGGACGGACAGACAGACAGACAGACAGACAGACAGACACAGATAAAGAAGAGAGGGAGGGAGGTATAGATAGATAGGAAGATAAATAGGAAGATAGAGAAGATAGAGAAGATAGAGATAAAGAAGATAGATAGATGATATAGATGATAGATAGATAGATAGATAGATAGATAGATAGATAGATAGATAGATAGATAGATAGATAGATAGATAGATAGATAGATAGATAGGAAGATAGATGAGAAGATAGAGAAGATTAAGATAGATCGATAAAGAAGATAGATGATAGAGAGATAAGAGAGATAAAGAAGATAGATAGATAGAGAGATAGAGAGATAGAGAGATAGATAGATAGATAGATAGATAGATAGATAGATAGATAGATAGATAGATAGATAGATAGATAGATAGATAGGAAGATAGGAAGATAGGAAGATAGATAGGAAGATAGATGAGAAGATAGATGAGAAGATAGAGAAGATAAAGATAGATCGATAAAGAAGATAGATGATAGAGATAAGAGAGATGAAGATAGATAGATAGATAGATAGATAGATAGATAGATAGATAGATAGATAGATAGATGGATAGATAGATAGATAGATAGATAGATAGGAAGATAGATAGGAAGATAGATAGGAAGATAGATGAGAAGATAGAGAAGATAAAGATAGATCGATAAAGAAGATAGATGATAGAGAGAGATAAGAGAGATGAAGATAGATAGATAGATAGATAGATAGATAGATAGATAGATAGATAGATAGATAGATAGATAGATAGATAGATAGATAGATAGATAGATAGGAAGATAGATAGGAAGATAGATAGGAAGATAGATGAGAAGATAGAGAAGATAAAGATAGATCGATAAAGAAGATAGATGATAGAGAGAGAGATAAGAGAGATAAAGAAGATAGATAGATAGACAGGATAGCAGGCAAGAAACTGGAAGAGATGATTCAGATGGTTTGTGAAGAATAAGAGAATTGCGTTGCTTCTCGGACAGAAGAGGGTGTTCATCTGCAACAAGGGCCAAGTGCTTTTCTGCACATCTCCAGATCCCAGTTTCCAATTCCAACGGAGGCTGTCTTCACTCCTGCTTTGCTTTTATTGGTTTCCATCTCCGTTTTTCTGGCTGAAGCTTTTATAAACTGAGCAAAAAGGAGTACATCTTTAGGATAGGCCAGGAAAAAAACAACAACCATGGATCTCGCTGAATGCAAGACCCAAAGTTGCTTTTTCCAAAAGGAAACTGGAATTCCTTTGTTTTTTTTTCTTGAAAAAGTTTCGCTTCTGTTTTAGAACATGGGATAACTTTTACCCATGGCTAGAAAAACGAGTCAGAGAGAAAGGAATGTGACATGTAATTTTGAATATATATTAGTAAGAAGAAGGCGACTGAGTGATTTAATTAATACTGTTTATGATAATTAACTATATCTATTGTTGTTAGTTAAATACATGTACCCAGACAATATGCTGTTTGCTAAATATATATGTAAAAAGAAAAAGTTTTGCTTCTCTTCCCAGAAGCTTCTTCAGTTTTCAAGGGGAAAAAAAAAGTCCAATTGCCTTTTTGGGGGAAAAAAAAGCATCTTTGGAACAATCCCAAGTCTTTGTGAAGGCATTTTGGAGAATTAAAAACTCCAGTTGCAATCAACAGTTTCCACTCAATAGAATATCTGGGTTGTATTGATGAAACACAAGGAACTGTGTCGTGTTCCGTCAACAGGCAAATCTGATATATCGAAAGTATTAAATGCAGACCAAATCAGATTCTGGTTTATGTACAGGTATAGTATAGGGGGTACCTTGCTCAATAGTAGCAACTGTGAGAGGGACCTCAGAGTCCTAGTGGACAGTCACTTAAAGAGGACCCAGCCGTGTGCTGCAGCTGCCAAAAAAGCCAACACAGTGCTGGGCTGCATTAACAGAGGGACAGAATCAAGATCACGTGAAGTGTTAATACCACTTTACAATGCCTTGGTAAGGCCACACTTGGAATACTGCATCCAGTTTTGGTCACCACGATGTAAAAAAGATGTTGAGACTCTAGAAAGAGTGCAGAGAAGAGCAACAAAGATGATTAGGGGACTGGAGGCTAAAACATACAAGGAACGGTTGCTGGAATTGGGTATGTCTAGTTTAACGAAGAGAAGGACGAGGGGGGACATGATAGCAGTCTTCCAGTATCTCAGGGGCTGCCCCAAAGAAGAGGGAGTCAAGCTGTTCTCCAAAGCCCCTGAAGGCAGGACAAGAAGCAACAGATGGAAACTAACCAAGGAGAGAAGCAACCTGGAACTAAGGAGAAACTTCCTGACAGTGAGAACAATTAACCAGTGGAACAACCTGCCTCCAGAAGCGGTGAATGCCCCAACACTGGAAGTTTTTAAGAAGAGACTGGACAGCCATTTGTCTGAAATGGTATAGGGTTTCCTGCCTGAGCAGGGGGTTGGACTTGATGACCTCCAAGGTCCCTTCCAACTTTATTATTATTATTATTATTATTATTATTATTATTATTATTATTATTATTATTATTATTATTATTATTATTATAACAGCTGAATTCATTTTGTTTTTTTGCGCTTCCTCAAATTGCAGTTTCATTGCGAGATTTTTTGAGATGAATCCATTTGAGCCCTCGATCACAAGAGACAAAGTGGATCGGGTGAGTGCAGAACTGCAAAACATTTATACTTTTTCGGTTTCATTTTTTGTTCCTGGTTCATAGTACGCTTTCCCTTTAGCAACAAACAGATAACACAATAACGTGTGTGTGGCAAAATATGCCGTATTGAAATACAAAACAGGATCCTCTAGGTGGATTTTTTTATTATTTTTTTTAAAAGGCCAGAAAAAAGATATGTTGATTTTAACATTTACACAAGGTTATTATGGTATGTTCCTTATCAGGGTGTGGCCGTTCCTAGATTTGCGTTGCAATGAATCCCGGCCATTTTGAAATACTGTTAAGAGATGCCTCTAAGAAAAGGAACAAGGAACAACAACAACAAAAAAATGAAAATCTCAAGATAAGGGAACTTGCCTTAATAAAAAAAAATGGTCCTAAGTCGCTTTTTTCATTGCCGTTGTAACTTCGAACGGTCACTAAATGAACTGTTGTAAGTTGAGGACTACCTGTATTGGGCCTAACGCGTGCAGAAGGCTGGCTGAGGAATTCTGGGAATTGAAGTCCACAAGTCTTAATGCTGCCAATTTGAGCACTGGAGGGCAAATGCGTGCGTTTTTATCCAATTTCTACTTTTTTTTATTAACCAGAGCATCTTTCTTCCCACCCTACTCTTTCCAAATGTAAGAAAACGCCAAAAAAAGAACAAAAACGATTCATTTTCTAATTCAGTGTTTCTCCACCTTGACAATTTTAAGGCAGGTGGACTTCAACTCCCAGAATTCCACAGCCAGCAATGCTGGCTGTGGAATTCTGGGAGTTGAAGTCCACATGCCTTAAAATTGTCCAGGTTGAGAAACACTGTTCTAATTGATCAACATGGCAACTTTTCAATGGCAGATTAGTGAGTTGTGAGCATTCACACACACACACACACACACACACACACACCTTTTTAATACTGTAAGCACGACATGTCTCCAGCAAAGGGCCCTTTCCCCTGAATCGGCCCGATACGGTCGCCTTAATTTAATTACGGCAGAGTTAAAATGCGTAAGTGCACGTGGAATATAATTGCCTTTTCTTATCTGTTTAAAGTTCTACGTGACTGATAAGAGGTTTCCGGATCTTCCTGGCTTGGAGGACTTGGGTGTTAACCCGACTCCGCTAGAAACCAAGGCCATCGAAGTCCTGCGCCGGCATCGCCGGTCCTTCTGGGTGGATGCCGATCTCGAAGACGCAAAGCCGGCCACCCCTGTCACTCATCTGTAACCAGTGGATTTGCGAGACCTTACACGGACTACGTGGGTTTGAAGAAAGGCCGTACAAAGCACGTTAAAAATCTCAGATAAACCACCTCCACCTTCTTTGCCTCTCCCCTTTGCTTTGTTTGATCATCAAGGGAGGCCATCAAGAGTGTGAACCTTAAGAGAATAGAATACCTTTACGGTCGTCGTGTAACCCGCAACGAAATGAGTTGGGTCAGTGATGGCGAACCTTTTAGAGACCGAGTGCCCAAACTGCAACCCAAAACCCACTTATGCATTGTCGAGTGCCGGGTGGGTGTGGCCCATTGTCTGGGTGTGGTCCATTGGGTGGGCGTGGCCAATTGGGTGGGCATGGCTGCAGTGGTAATGGCAGACTGGGTGGGGCTAAAAAGTTCAATCAATCAATTCCAACTTTGCAAGATCTTTTTTTTCCCACGAGTTGAAATTGACTGATTGAATCTTTTTTTTTTGCACACGGCGGCGGAGGCCTAAAGCAAAAAGGTTTTATAAAACCCAGCTGAAGGCCTAGGACTGGGGCGACGGCGCGCGTGCCCACAGAGAGGGCTCTGAGTGCCGCCTCTGGCACCCGTGCCATAGGTTCGCCACCACTGAGTTGGGTACTGTAGTTTAATATTTGCCAGGAGGCGGGGTCTTGGCCTAAACCAGGGGTAGGCAACCTCCGCTCTTTGATGACTCATGGACTTCAACTCCCAGAATTCCTGAGTCAGCATAGCTCAGGAATTCTGGGAGTTGAGGTCCACGAGTCATAAAAGAGCCAAGGTTGCCTACCTCTGGCCTAGGTCTAGGCCACTTTATGACTGGTGGACTTCAACTCCCAGAATTCCTGAGCCAGCCTGGCTCAGCTTGGAAACCTCTCCCTTTCCCCTCAGCGTGGCTGGCTCAGGAATTCTGGGAGTTGAAGTCCACGAGTCATAAAAGAGCCAAAGTTTCCCACCCCTGGTCTAGACTAATAAAAAAAAAAGAACCAGGGGTGAGAGGATAGCATCCTTCCAATACTTGAGGGGCTGACACAGAGGAGAAGCGGTTGATCTATTCTCCAAAGCACGAGAGCAGGGGTCCCCAAACTGTGGACTGTGGCCCACTACTGGGCTGCGGCTTGCTGACCACCAGGCTATGGGGCAGGCTGGCCAATGTGCGCACATGTGCACACATTCATCCCCACTTACACTAGCCCCGTGGCCTAAAGGGAGCTCTGCGTGGCCTAAACGGTGCCACACGGTCTAAATAGGGCTCCGTATGACGGAAACGGAGTGCCATGTGGCGGAAACGGCAGTCCTAGCGCCTGCGCAGCAAAAACGGGGCAGGGTTAGCAAGTGTCATGTGGGCACTAGTGCCGCCCCGTTTGCGCCAAATGTGTGCTTGTGGCCCCGTTTGTGCACACGTGCGCGTAAAATGCTTTCCCTCA